ATATAATTAATGATGATACTAAACATAAAAATAAAAAAGATAATAATAAATTACTGTTGGGAAGAAAATAATAAGAAACATGAAAAAAAAATTGCAAATACACCATCAAAACAATTAAAAAAAATTCAAATTGATATTAATAAATTAAATGTAAAAATAAAAAATATTATCTATTAAGATTTTATTCATACTAATATTTATTTTTTTTAGAACAAAGAGATTATAGATTTATTACTCAAAATTTCACCAAATGTTTTGCCATTATTACAAGTTTCAACTTTAAAGATATTGGGTAAACGTTTTACTGATCATGATGAATATATGGAATCATTTAAACCATTGATTATTGAAGAGTTTTTTAGACAAATTGAATCATCATTCTCTGAATTAGACGAAAAGGATATGGATTTATTTAGTGATGATGGCTCATTAAAGAATTTAGAGAAGTTAAAAATGAAAAATGTTATGACAATTGAAACTATAAACGAAATATCTAAAGAGTTTTTAGAAGTTTCATTCACTGTACTTTTATCAAACAATGATGAAATTCCTTTACCCCATGATTTATTGTTATTCAAAGTATTTGTGCCACCTGATCAAAATGCTTACTTTGTTTTTGGTAGGGTAATTTCTAGTAGACAAAAAGACGATGATAACCCCCAAGAATTTACTGTCAAGTTCTCAAAATACACCAAACCATTCATTGATAAAATATATAGCTATTTCAAAAGTTCAAAACCTCACAGCTCTATGATTCAATTTTTAAAGATTTCAAACACAAGCACCTTCCAAAGGGAATTAAACGCAATTGAAAGTATTCGTGGAAGTCCTCTATGTGATTTAATATTGTCACCAACATTAAAAAAGAATCAAAAACTATTTGGTAATAAATTAGTTGTTCCTCCAAATTTAAAAGAATATTTCAATGCAGAGCTTAATCATTCACAAAAAGTAGCAATTGAAGAATCATTACTTACAGGTGGTGTTAACTTGATTCAAGGTCCACCAGGTACTGGTAAAACCCACATAATTCATACTTTGGTTTCAATTTTGCTAGCCTGTAATCCAACGTACAAAATTTTAATTTGTGCTCCATCTCATACTTCTGTAGATGAAATTGCTAGAAGGTTTATCAAAAAAGAGTTATTGAATAAGAATGCTCGACCTTACTTGCCAGTTATTTCAAGAATTGGTAAATTAGAAAATATTGCCAAAGATATTCATTCAATTTGTGTATATAAAGAGGATAATAAAAATGGAATAGATATTCTAAAGGAATCTAAAATTTGTTTTTCAACATTATCAGGCAGTGGTTCGGATTTAAGAAAAAACCATTATATACCAGATATAGTAATTATAGATGAATCAACTCAATCCTGCGAATCATCAACCATTATACCATTGGCAACCAGTAATCAATTAAAGAAATTGATTCTAGTTGGTGATCCAGCTCAATTACCACCAACTATTTTCTCTAAAGATTCAGTAAAATGTAATTTCAATGTTTCATTATTCGAAAGATTATCAAAATTTATTGGTGTTACAATGTTGAAAGTTCAGTATCGTATGAATCCCATAATATCAAGATTCCCATCGAGAATGTTCTACTCGAATAAGTTAGAGGATGGTTATAACGTTAAAAACTATATGTTTGATTTTTATAACGATAAAAAGTATGGACCACTCGCATTTTATGATATTACCGATAGTAAGGAAGAAAAGGGAGGTGGATCAATCAAAAATAGTTTAGAGATTAAAATGGTATTTGTATTTATCAAAAAGATTGTTCAAGATTATCCAAGTTTAAAAAAGTTATCATTTGGTATTGTTACATCTTACAAATTGCAAAAAAAAGAAATTTATTTAGCTAAAAAACATTTTAATGAACCATTGGATATAGAAATCAATACAATTGATGGTTTTCAAGGTGGAGAAAAAGATATTGTCATTTTATCTTGTGTTGGAAATGAAAATATTGGTTTCTTAAGTGATAGAAGAAGAATCAACGTCAGTATCACTCGTGCCAAATATGGACTATTTATTATTGGTAACAAAAATCTCCTTCAAAAAGATTGTACTTGGGGTCCATACCTTCAATATATTCAATCAATTGGTAAATTTAATTCATTAACATCTAAAGATGTAGAAAAACTTGAGTTATCAGCATTAAAACACGATAAATTACATCCAGATGGATTAATTGCAAACTTTGAAGGTTTAATAGATGATAAAGATAGTGAAGATGAAAAACCTGAAAACACTGGCGATATTGTTAAACTATTGAAATCTGTAATTATTTCAGATACGAATACACCTGATAATTGGGTATCAAACTTTTCAGATTTATTAAATCAGTTAAACTCAATGGAACGAAATTTAGAAGAAACAGAGAAACAAAAAAAAGAAATCAAAGAAAAATTAAAATGGTTAACCAATAAACTTGCATATCTTCCATTTGAACAAAGAAATCAATTATTTTTATCAGACTCAAAGATTTCTTCAAACTATCAAACCCCAATACAACACTTATTATCTCAATTAAGATGTTATAGTAAAAATCCAACTTCACCTTTTTACAAATTAAATCAAATTAAAAAGAATAGCTTTTTTTCAGATTTATTAAATCAGTTAAACTCAATGGAACGAAATTCAGAAACAGAGAAACAAATAAAAGAAATCAAACAAAAATTAAAATGGTTAACCAATAAATTTGCATATCTTCCATTTGAACAAAGAAATCAATTATTTTTATCAGACTCAAAGATTTCTTCAAATTATCAAACACCAATACAAGACTTATTAGTTCAACTAAGATGTAATAAAAATCCAACTTCACCTTTTTACAAATCAAATCAAATTAAAAAGAATAGCTTTGATAAATTAGAAAGTACTTTGAAATATTGGCTTGCAGGTGCTAAGATCCGTCAATATGGATCCTTTTTTTCGGGTATATCATTGAATGAAAGTGAAATAGATGTTTGCCTTTTTTTAAAAAAAAATGATAAAACATTATTATCTCAGGTAAAGTATATTTTAAAGGATACAAAGAATTACACTATTGTAGAAATTAGTAAAAGAGCAAAAGTACCAACCCTTAGATTTAACGAAAAGACCACAAATATCCATTTTGACATGTGTTTCAATAAAAGATTGGAAATTTATAAATCATTACTAATTAAGGAATATGTAGATTTGGATCCAAGATGTCGTGATTTAATTTTATTAGTTAAGCATTGGGCCACACAAAAAAATATCAAAGATGCCTCTCGGGGTACCTTCTCTTCATTCTGTTTAACTTTAATGGTCATTAATTTCTTACAAACTGGTGTATCTCCTCCAATCCTACCAAATCTCGAATCCCCAAATAAATCAATTCTCGAACCCACCTCAAATCTCAAAACAAATTTTATTATTGAAGAATATCTTGTTCAATATTATGATCATACAACTCTCAAATTTAAATCATCCGATAATAAACTATCAATAGATCAATTGTTTTATCAATTCTTTAAATATTATTTAGGATTTGATTTCAAAAATTTGTCTATCAATATTTCTAAAGGTATCAAACAAAGAGGTCGAAAACCAGAGACTATTGAAGTCCAAGATTTATTTGAACCCAAAAGCTCGTCTGCTGGTATTAAATTTAAAAAATACAAAAAGATTATATTTGAATTTGCTTTAATCGAGTTCAATTTAAGAACTGGTTTAAAAAAATTAGAAAGTATATTGGATTCAAAATTATCTTTATATTATAATAAAATTAAATAATTTACAGGAAAAAAAAAATAAAAATAAAAAAAAATTTTTAGTAAATATAAACTAAAAATTTTAATAATACTATTAAAACAATAAATAAATTAAAGCTAAAAATAAAACAATTACCATTTTTTATTATTTATTTTTTTTAAATTACAAAAACTAAAAAAAATGAAATTGACAACAAAAAACACCTATTCCACCTAAATTGAAACCCTCTATTGAAGAGGTAATATAAACATCAATACAGGTAAATATATTGCATATAATATGTGATTTCTTTTTTATATTTCCCAAAACATAAAAATAAAATATTATAACCAATAATTAAAAAAATAAAAAAATTTAAAAAAAAAAAAATGAGTATTGATTATTTAAAAAAAAAAATAAAATCGTTTAAAATTGAAAATAGTTTTGAAAAAAATTAAAGGGAGGAAAAGAAAAAATTGGAATGTGTTTATGTTTTTGATTTATCAGTAAATTTAATAAAATGGATAAAAATAAATAATTTTTTTAAAAAGAGATAATTTTTTTTAAAAAAAAAAATGATGATAACGATCTTAAAAAAATTAAACACTTTTTCTTTTTAAAAAAAAAATAAAAAATTAATAAAAAAAAAACGAAAAAAAAGTTTTTTCATTTTTTTTTTTTTTATTCGATCTTACACTTTATTTTTAACAAAAGATGAATTTAAATATTTTTTTAATATTAATTTTTTTATTTTTAGTTAATATTAGTTTTGTAAAATCATCACAGGACGAAGATTGCTTAAAAACAATATTGGTCAAATTATTCAATATAAATGATGTGACTTTATGTGGAAACCCAATTATTACAAGTTATTATTTTTATGAAGGTATTTGTTCAAATTCCAATAATAAAGTCCTTCAAGAATTGTAAGTTTTATTTATTTCTTTTATTTTATAAAATTATAATAAATTTTTTTTTTAAAAAAATCTAGATATATTAAAGGGTATGAACCAACTTCCCGTATTCCATCCCCTCCATCTTTAGTATATAGTGATTTAAGCTGCTTTGAAAATCTATATCAATTGTAAGGTTAATTATAATAATAATAATCTTAGAAAATTTAATATTAATATTTTTTTTTTAAAATAGAAATTTAACATTTATAGCAATAAAAAAAGATGCACTTGGAGTTAATGGTCAAAAAAATGTTGCAAAGGAAATTGGGTTAATCTCATGTATTTTTGATGATGGAATAATTGTGTCTGAAGGTTCTTTTCTACCAACAGGTCAAAGCAATTTAAGTATTATATTAGATTCATTCTCAAATTTTAAAGAATTACGTTTTAGAACTATTAAATACCTAAATTCTTTGTAATTATCTTTAAAATAAATTTAAAATAATATAAACAAATACTAATATTATTTATATAGTGAAATTAGAATAGTTGAAAACCTAAAGTTAAATACATACCCAATATATATAAATGATTTACAAGGTTTAGAAACCAATTTTAATATTTTGCAAGTATTTTTATCATTATATAATTTAATAAAAATTAAAAAATACTTTATATTAATATTTCATTTATTAGTTATATTTATTCAAATGCAGTCCCAATATTTACAAATTTAAAGATAAAGAGTTGCCATTTAAAAATTATAGGTGATTTATATTTGCCATCAATTGATAATTTAGGTACTTTAAATCAAGTTGTAACATTTACATTTTCAAATGATGAAGAAATTGAATTCCCCAAACAATTACTATCAACAAATAATATATTCTCCCGATTGAATCTACTATCTAGATTTAAACCACAAAAAGAGTACTTAACAATTCCAAACACAGTATATGGATTATTTTTCCCAACAGCAAATCCAACATTCAATATCAATGGAAAAATTCCATTTATTTTTCCAGAAAAAATGACTTATTTGGTTTTAAATAATTTAGGTCTTATTGAATTTCCAATTTTACCAAAAAAAATTAAATCTGTATATGTTTTTAATTAATTTATATATTATATATTATATAATAACTTAAAAATTTGTTTATTTTATAAAAAAAGATTCATTGGTAATAATATTTATGGTGCAAATGGTCCAAAATCATTGCCAGATCTTTCATCATATGAAGATTTGGTTAATATTCAACTTACTAATACTGGCTTCAGTGGACCAATTCCTGAAAGCTATTGTTTATTTACGAACTATTTAACTTATAATAATTTAAATGGTAAGCTCATTATTTAAACTATCAGCGTTTTAAAAACTTAATACTAATTTAATATTTTAAATAAAGGAACCCTTCCAATGTGCAAAGCTTGTTATTTAAATCCAAATTATGATGATTTTAATAATAATCCTAATTTAGATTTTGGGGTTTGTGGTATGTAGTAAATAATTTTTATACTATTTTAAAATATTATTATTATTAATCCATTATATTTTAATTAAAAAGACGAAAGTACGATCATTCCTAATTTCAATATTTCCCTTGGAAAAGAAATTACTATATATGGAGAAAATATTGGATTAATATTACCCCAAATTTTCAATTATCCAATTGCATTTTCAAAGGTCAAAGGGAACTCAATGTTTAAAGGAAAGTGGAATGATAGCTGGGGCCCAATCCCAGACACCGTTGTAGTTTCTTTATCCCCAAGAAACTTTACATTTAATACAAAAAACCTATTACCATCATTAAATAATATTACAAAATCAAATCTCCAATTTACTTTCCATGGTTCAAACTTTTCATATAACAAAAATGATTTTGAAATTAAAATTGCAAACGAAATTTGTTTAATTTCATCCATAACATTTAATAAAATCATTTGCAATTTCCCAAAACAAAAAGTATTACCAGTTAAAAGTGATGTCCCAACAAATATTTAGAATAATAAATCTGGTGAATTTATTTCATTTACAATAAATACACTCAAAGATAAAACAACAATTGCTAAAAAATGCCCAAATCAATGTATAGAGGGGATTTGTTCAATTAACACTGGTACATGTATATGTAATCCCGGTTATAGTGGTGAAACATGTAGCCCCATACCATGTAAATCAGACTGCGGTACTCCAGAAGGTAGAGGCGAATGCAATTATAATATAGGTGTATGCGTTTGTAATCTAAAATGGAAAGGTGAATCTTGTGAAATACCAAATCAATTTTTAACATCAGCTTCATCAACATTATCTTCAGGCGGTTTAGTTAATTTATTTGGTTGGTTTGGATCACCAAATGAAGGTTTAACAATTACAATTGGTTCTTTAAATTGCCAAAAATATTATTACAATACAACTTTTGCAAACTGTACTATTGGTGCAGGATCAGGCACTAAATCAATAAAGATTATTCAAAACAACCAAGAATGGAATGGTGAAAATTTGTTCCACTATACAGAAATAACATATAGATGTCCAAAAAACTGCTCTTTAAATGGAGTTGCATATGGTGAATGCAACAGCTCTTTAGGTCAATGTAAATGTTTTAGTGGCTGGGGTGGATATGATTGTAATTCAAAATCGACAAATGGATGATCTACATCAACTAGTACCGGATCATCTACTACACCAACACCAACAAAATCACCAGATATTGAAATCCCTGAATCAAATACAACCATCAATAATGGTTCAAGTTCTATAGCATCAACAAACAACTTACGAAATATCAATTTTTATCATTAATAGAATATGATGTCACTGATACAATAGTTTTTAAACATAACCTATCTAATAAATGGATCGGCATAGGAGATACTGATAAGAACAGTCATAAATTTAACCAAAATATTTCAGAAACATGCAGAATAACATATATTATTGAAGATATCCAAGAACCAAGAGATTATGAATTTGCAGGTTTAAAACTAACTTTAGAAAAAGATTCAATTAAATTAACAGTAACCATCGATAACTATCCATTTACAAGTGCATTAAATAAATTACAACTCAGATTGGAATCTTTGGTTAGTGATAATGGTGCAAATATTGAAAACAATCAATGTAACAATAAAGATACCTCTATCGAAAAAGACTTATTAGATAGTAATCAATTATTAAACTATATTACTATTTCGAGAAATGAAAAAGTATTAAATGGTAGATTTATAAACAGAGTATTGAGTGATCAGAGACAATCATTTATTACAACATCATTAATTTCAAATACCACTACAACAGAAAATAAAGAATCATTTATTATTGGATTAAATTTACCATATTTCACAGAATCATTAATCATCGATCCAGATTTTTCTGTGTTAGTATCACCATCATTCAAGAAATGCAAATCAAATGATAGAGCTAAGTGGGTTTTACCTGTTGCGATTGTAGTACCTTGTGTTGCTGTTGCCACCATTATAATAATAAGTGCCATTATATACAAAAAAAATCATACCACAGTTTTATTGGTTAAAAATAAATTCAAATTAAAGTCATTATCAAAAAAGAAAAAAAGTGATCTTTAAATGCAAGAAACTAATAAAAATAAAATATTAATTATTTTAATAATAACTATTTGGTTTTTTATTATAAATATCCACAACAATTAAAAAAGAACTTTTATACTATAGTAATTTTGGTAAATATTGATCAATATTTACCAAAAAAAAAAAATTATTTTAGTACTCCTTTTTCAATTAAAAAAAAAAAAAAGAATGATTGCAAACGAATCATCATTTTTATACGATTGCTGAGGGGTAAAAAGGAAGTATAAAAAAGTTATCGAAGTATTTTTATAAAAAATGAATATGTTATGAAGGATCCACTCCTATAAACTATTACATTATTTATTATTATTTGTTGTTTTTTTGTTATTTGATTTAATTGAATTGTGGTTGTTTAATTGGTGATTCAGTTGTTGGTGTGGTGGTAGATGACGATGAAGTTTTATTGGTATTAGTTGGGCTATTAGTTGGTGATACCCTATGAGTTGGAGAACCATAAACAACTGAGCTTTGTGGAATAATTGTTGTTGGTCTGGTTGTGAAAGTAATTTTACTATTTGCCATACCTTCGATAATATATTCTACTTCACTTTCATCAACGTTGTTAGCATTACTAATTTCGCTGCTATCTACCATGTTTACATCATTATCTAAATCTTCATTAATATTCTTTTTTCTAATAACCAACAATGGTTTTTTTAATGGTACCTCTTTACCATTTAATACTTGATTTCCAATTTGAAATGTAAAATCGTCCTATTGGTATAATAAAAACAATAATAATGTAAGTACTATATTTAAAATTAAAACTCATTATATAAATAGTTACCTTGGTGTTTGGTTTTTTTATAAGGGTTCCCAATGTTTCATTTTTTAATTCACAGCTATATTCTAAATGACCTTGTAAATCTAAAATATACCATTCTTTATTTTCTGTTGCTTCTCTAATAAAAATTTGCATCCTTTATATATTTGTTGTTTTTAATTTTAAAAAAAAATAAACTACATATATTTAAAAAAAATTAAAAAAAAATATAAAAATTTAAAAATTTAAAAAAAAAAAAAAAAAAAAAGAGGGGTAAATTTTATAGATTACAATAAATATAATTTTATTTTCTAAAATCTGGAATTTCGTTTTTATAAATATTGTTTTTATAAATATAATCAATAACTTTATCTGGAATTAAATACTTGATTGAACCGCCATTTCTTATTTTTTCTCTAATTCTAGTTGATGAAACATCATTTGAAATATCCACTGGTATAAAGTCAAGACCCTCTCTATTTTTTGTTAATATTGGATTGACTGCTATTATACCTTCTAAATCTGTACCTGTTCTTTCTAAAACTGCAATTCCATAATGGTCTTTTGACGATAATAAATCCATCTAAATAAAATAAGAAGATTGTGTTAATAGCAAAATTAAAATATCTATTTTTTTATTTTTTTTATTTGGAACTTACATCACTATCAGCCCAAAGTTTTGGGATATTAAATGAACCTAATAAATCAGCACCACAAACCAATTTAACTGCTAAGTCTGAGCAATCTATATTTTTTGATTTAAAATGATCGATGGTACATTGCTTAAAATGATCCAATGCTTGTCTTGTTGGTGTAAATTCATTTTTTGATGACTCAAATGGGTCCGCCATAATCCAATCAGAATCCTCTAAAGCTAAATCAACCATCTTCAATCTATGAAAGGCCTCAATTAATGTTTTTTTATTGTATGCATCACCTACTGGTGATAAATATCCACCAATAACTTCATAATTGTTTTTATAATAATCATTTGCCATTTCTAATACATATAAATATGTGTATGTGAGTGTATGTAAAATAAAATATTAGTTTTTTAATATAATTTTAAAATATTTGTTTTAGATATAATTACCCATCATTCTTAAATGCATAAATGTAATTGGATTAAATGAACCTGTACCAACTAAAACTAAGGGTCTTTTATTATGATCTTTTGGGGTTTTTAATTTTTCAACTGGGAATTGATAAGATGCCATTTTTATTCTATTGTCGCTTTTATAACTATTGTTGTTATTATTATTATTAATATTATTTGAAATTGTTGTTGAAAAAAATAAACACTGCTGCTTGTATATAATGGTTGGCTTTAATATAGATTTTAAAAGTACAGTTGATGAATATAAATTCATATATAAACCTTTTTTTGTTAATATTTTAATGATTGGAATTAAATAATAAAAATACAAAAGAAAAATTGATAAAAAAGAAAGAAAGAAAAAAAATAAAAAAAATTTAAAAAAAAAAAAAAAAAATTTTAAATTATTGATTTTTTTATATTAAAATTTTTTGTATTTCCAAATCGAATACAACTAAGTATTTAAAAATTAAAAAAAATATAAAAAAATAATAAAAAAATAATAAAAAAATAATAAAAAAAAAAAAATATTTCCCCCAGAAATCATCATTAAATAAGGGTTTTTTTTAATTTTAAATGTTTTATAACTTATAATCAAGAGGTACTGCAATTTACTCATCAACTATCATCACAATAGAAATAAATAAAAAATATAATTATTATACTATAATTATTTAAACAATAAATATAAACCAAAGTTAAAAATAAAAAATATTTTAAATAATATAATACTACTTTATAAAAAATATTATTTGTGTTTATAATTTAACATAATACACAAAATAATACCATTGTTTTTTTATTTATTAATAAATAGAGAAAAAAAAAAGTAAATAATTTTGGTAAATTGAAAAAAAAAAAAGAGTGTTTCGTAAAAAAATTTGTTATTTTCTTTACTTTAAATATATATAAATTATTATTATTGATTTAAGTGTACAGTTATTTATATTTATATATTATTATTTAACCATTATATAAAATTGAATTTTTTGAATTAAAATAATAATTGTTTGGACCATTGTCATTGTTTTGGTAAGAGTTTAAAGGACTTGAATTATCACTTTCATAACTATAATTGTTGCTATTGTTGCTGTTATTATTGTTGATGTTATTTTCGTTAGAGATATTATTTTGTGATGAGTAATGACTTTCTGTTTGATTTTCATTAAATTTATATTTAATTGTATAAGTTGGCTCTTCTAATTTAAATTCTGGGTTAATATTATTAATGTTGAATGGGTGTTTATGTACAGTATATCCATTTGAATTTGTGGAACCGTTGAGTTCTATTATTTTTAAATAAAAAATATAAATTAATATTTTAATTAAAAAACCAATAAAATATGTAATACGCACCATGAAAATCGAAGCATTCATCACTAAAACTATCAAATTCAGTACCACTATCGTCGTCGTCAAGTAGTTCGCTCTTTTCGTCATCGTCGAAATATTTTAAAATATTTTTATTATATGAACTTGATGAATAATAGTTGTTGTTGCTATTATAATAGTTATATCCATTATTGTAAAATCCATTTCCATTATTAAAAGAGTTATTATTTTGATTATTTTTATTTATATTTATACTATTACTTATTTTAATGTTGGAATTACGAAGACTATGGTCATTATTGTTATATTCATCATAGTTATTGTTGTTATTGTTTCTATTGTTATTGTTACTGTTTTTATCATCTTCATCATCACTAATATCAACTATTTCATTTTGATAAACTTCTTGATGATGTAAAAAATCGATTGAATTAAAATTATAACCAACCAAGTTTTTATTATTATTATTTCTAAATTGTTGGAAAAGGTCCAATGTTTTCTTTGCACCAAATGAAAATTTACTTGTAAGTGATGATAAAGGAGATCCTGATGAAACTGATGATTTATCAGTACTTATATTACTACCAGTGCTATTTTTTGTTCTATTATTAAAATTAAAAAGCCCATTGAATCCATTATTATTTTTACTATTTTTGTTATTATTATTATTATTATTATTATTATAATTATAGTTAAAACTATGATCACTACTACTATTACTGCTACCACAATAGTTATAACTGTTATTATTAAAACCACTATTATTATTTCCACTATCGTTTATAAACTCAAATGGGCTTGTTGAGAGACTATTAATTTCATCACTTTCCATTTTTTTATTTATTTTTTATTGTGTTTTGTATTTTTTTTTTTGTTTTTTAGGTTTTTATTTTTATTTTAAAAAACACATGTATTAAAAGAGTGGATATGTTTTATATAGGGAATAATTTTTTGGGGGTGTGTGTTTTAGAAAAAAATAAAAATATAATTTTAAAGTAGGAAAGACGAGAGAAAGTTTTTACCAATACAGGTGTTAAATTATTATACAAAAAATAAATAAAAAATAAAAAAAAACTATATTTATTTTATTTAAATTTTATAAGTTTTTATTTTCTTTAATAAAACTATTCTTTTTTTTTTTATTTTTTTTTTTAAAAAAAAAAACAAAAAAAATAATTTTTAAAAAAGATATACAAATAAATTTACACAAAAATTTTCACAATAAAAAACAACTAAAGGTTATTTAATAATTAGAAAATGAGCTTTTATTTGTGAATTTAAAAGAGATAAAAAAAAAAAATTTTGGGTATTATTA